CAGTGAAGGGGCCCAGCAGCATCTCCTGCAGGCCCCGGACGGAGCGCGGCGTGGTAGGAAGGACTCCAGGAGACGCGTTGCCGCGGGTGGGGACCGTGCGTCGCAGGCAAGAGGGCCTCACCCCGGGCCTGTGAACCCACCAATATCGCCCTCGGCTCCTGGGCAGCCTCTGGCCAATTTGTCGATTCTCCCAGCCTCCAGGCGGGCCCCAAGAACCAGTTCTCTCTCTTTTCGTTTGAACAAGATCCCCCGTCAGCCCGCGGCCTCCAAATCGTTTTCTCGTGCTGACCCTCCAGGCCGCCACGTGGGTCAGAAGGCAACAGCCTGGAGGGCGGAGGGGCGTGGCGGCCTCTGGCCCACGGTGGCCCCAGGGGACCTTGCTGCCCCCCCCCCAACTCAGCTGCTCGGCCCCTGGGGCCTGTGACCACGCCAGCCACGTGCGGCGCGGGCGACGCCCCAGTTCTGGCCGTTTCACAAGTGCAGCCATCCCGAGCCCAGCGCCTGGCAACCCGAGCCGGGCTCCGGGCGTCGCGGGGCCCATTTTCTGAAACGGAGAATTCGTGTGAGCGGAATTCCCTCACCGTAACGTATCCGAAACTCTAAGCAAAACCGAAAAGCCGTGGGAGCCGAGCTTGCGAACACTCCGCTGCGCCCTCCTGGACGCGACATAACACGGGCTGCGAGTGCGCCAGGCTGCTGGGCAGTTGGAGAGGCGCCATACGAGGCCCAAGGCGGGCGGCCGGTCCCGGCGAGCGTACGGCGGGAAGCGACGGCTCGGGGCTGGCCGGGAACCGCGCCCGGCCCACCCCGGGGTCTGGCACCCGCAGCTGCGGGAGGGCGGACGGGGGCCTCCGGGTCGCGTCATCCCAGAACTCTGAGCCCCGGGTGCTGAACTGCGCGGAGGGTCTGAGGCTGCCTCAGGGAGTTCCGCCGCCTTTTTAGGCTGGAAAAATCAAAATTAAAAAAAGAAAGAAGTGCTTCTGGTCCGCTGGTTTGGCACCAGGCCCCGGTCCCTTCTCTTCCTCCCTCAGTCCTAAATGAGAGCCCAGAGGAGTGTTTGCCTGGAACGCAGGCCTTCCCGTCGGCTGCCCTTGGAAACAGCCAGCGAGCAACTCCTCTCTAGATCACGCCCCTTTTTTCCCCGAAATGGTCCCAAACCAAAGTCCGGGGAGCCTTGAGGAGGCCGGTGTGGCTGCTTTCTGTCTTTCCCCCAAAGCGCAGCGGTTGGGCGGTGGACCTGTCTTGGGCTGAGCGATGGGCGCCGGTCGGCTGGGAGCCCTGGGCCCTGTCCCGGGGAACGTCCTGCCCAGCTCCAAGCACAAAGGCCCCAGACTGCCCCTAACCAAAGGCGATCTATCAGCCTAAGCTCGTCGAGGCACACTCACCCACCCCGTTGCTGCCTTCCAGAAAGTCAGATCCTAGGGCACTTACAGAACGTCCTGGAGGTGAAAGATATTTCAAGTAAGTCTGAATTTCCCACAGGTGCACAAAAGTATTCTCTTCCATAGCCGTGGAGCTTCTCCTATTCATGCATGATGGAACAGCAAGTGTAGGCCTTTGGGATGAAGGTCTTAGGAAAGAGGGCTGGGATTCCAGAGACTGGGTGGGATAGACCTGAGGCTCCTGACACCCACAAGCCTCACCAGCAGCTGCTCTGAGCGCTGGGACCCAGGGCTGAGATGGTCTTTGGTTCAGGCTAGCGTCTATCAAATCCCCACCCAAAGCCTCCCAAGTGCTCTGTCTCGTCGAAGACTGCAGATCAGGAAGGGGGCCAGTCAGGGAGGGTGCTATGGCGTGCGAAGAGACCCCAGTTCAGCTTGTAGCCTTTTTAGGGCAGGCACCCAGCTGCTGCTGCTGAGAACAAATTCTGGCCCAGACCTGCTAGAACCAATTTCCTATAAATATGGGGGAAGTGGGTAACTAGTGACATATGGACATACATATATACATTGGGCAATGGTTCTACAGGGTTCTGTGGTTGCTCTGGAATGACTTTCCATGTGGCACACACATCTGTTCTGTCTTTACTGCCGAGTGTTGCCTGGAGGCTCCTGGCAGGGCAGACTCTCGTTAGGGGCCCAGGGGCCGCAAACAGGGAAGTGCTGGGAGGGACAGCAAGTTTGATGCTCTGGAAAAGGCCCAGAAAATCCGCGTTTGCAAAACGTGGGCGAGACCAAGGCCTGAAGGAAATTCAATCAAAGCTCCAAGAGTCCGGTGTCTGTACAATAGAGTAGTGCGTTCACCAAAGGCTGTAGCCCAGGTTGCAAAGATCAGCTGCTTTTTCAAGGTTAGGACTCACCCCAGCCCAGAACTGAAAGGGACTTGAGAGATCACCTAGGCCTCTTTCTAATAGTGGGAGAGAATGAAGGGAAGAGAATGAGGCAGAGAAGACTAGCAAGTGGCCCAAAGTCTCACACCAGGAACTCACTACCCTCTCCCACTCTCCTGCCCCAGACCAAGGTGCTTTCCTCACAGCCCTGGCCAAAGCCCAGACCAGCCTGCCAACTGGGTCCTCTCAACTACCTGGCTGAAGAAGAAATCTGAGAAAGGGGAGGGTGCCCTTTCTTAGAGATGGGCAAGATGGGCTCCAAACCTCAGCGCAGCCAGGAGTAAATTCCTCCCGGCGTCTCCAGGGCCCTCTGAGCCGGGCTCTGGGGTCTTTCCAGCCCACAGCCAGAAGTCTTCTTTGGCCACCTAGATTTCCAGAGTCAGCTGTCCCGGGCGCTGGCTCGGACCCTCCTTTGACAGAAGGGAACCAGTCCTGCAGCCTCAACACCAGCTCAGGCCCCCAGAAACTAAATGCCTTGGGGGGTGGGGGGTGGGGGGGTGTCAGGGTTCCACTCCCTGTCCCTGGGACACCCCCCAGAGGACATCCAGAAGGCTAGGGCAGGGGAAACACTTCGGAAATCTTGCTGATAAGGAGACAGACACTTAAAGGGATAAATACGTTTCTTGCCAATAGACACCAAGCAAAGCCCAAGCTCGAACCCAGGGCTCTGGACTCCCATTCCAGTGCTACCAGCACAAATTCCCGAGAAAGTTTAAAGGGGTGGGAACGAAGAAATGTGGCTTTCATTCAGGTTCCGCGGCCCGAGGCTGGGGGCGGAGCCCCGGCTCTGCGCCGGCTCAGGTCCCTGCCTCGGCGCCCGCCGCAGGCGGGGAAAGTGACACTGAGAACAGCCCTGGATGAGGAGTTGGTTCCCGGCCCGGAGCAACTGGGAGCGAAGAGGGGAAACGGAAGTGGAAAGAACGAGTTCGGGAAGCCCAGGGCTTTTCAAAACCGTAGAAACGGCACCCAACCCAACTCCCCACCTCCAGCTCGTCCCAGCGCCCTTCTCCCAGAGAACTAGCACCGCGTTTTACCAGCCACGGGCCCTGACAAAGCAGCCAAAATCAGGACTTCTTTTTTAAATCCCTTATTCTGGAGCTCAGCGATCGGGCTCTCAGATTGAAGTGGCCAGGAGCCTGAGCCGAGATCGAGCGGGGAGGCCGCAAGGTGGGGGTCTGCTCTGCCTCCACTCTCTCCTCCCGGACCACCCACGGGGGAAGCGCCACAGCCGTCCTAAACCCGCCGACCTCGCCTCCCCGTAGGCAGACTCCCAGTCTGCGCTGTTCCCTGGTTCTGCGTCGCCGCTGCCGGCAGGAATCAACTTCTGTAGAGGCCGCACCGAACTGCCGGGGGAATCTCGGGCCGTGGGACCCGCGGGGTTAATTCTGAGTCCCCGCCCGGCGAGGAGCTGTGAACACGGAGCTGGGGCGGTACTGGCCGCGGGGCAGATGGCCAGGCTGGGAGAGGGAGGAAATGCGGAAGATCTCCGGGAAGTAGATTCTCAGGCGTCCGCCTGCGGCCACGGCCAAACCTTCCCCACTTCTCTCTCCTCCTCCCTTCCACTGTCCCTTAAGGACCGCTCAGGTCCCGGGTAGCTAAGATGGGGGTGGGGCTCTGTCAGCTGGAAAAGCTAAGTCTTTGAGGGGCACCCGCGCACCTCCAAACTCTCGCATCCCACTAGCCACCTCTTGGGTAGAATCTAGCCTGAGAGGGGCGCGGTGACACGGGGTGGGGGTGGGGTAGACCCAGAGGGACCAAGACAAGGCTGCAGCACCTCCCCTTGCGAAAAGCTACGCAAAGTTTCTTCTTCCCCTTGGAAGCTCCCTCCACGCCTCCCTTCCTCCACTTCCGCCCAAGCACCCCTTAAACAGCCCTCCGCCCTCTCTTCTCCCCTCTTCCCTCCCCACCTCAACCCTCCCCTTTTCTTCTCCGCGCTACTCACTT